GACGTCTTGGCTTGCCGTGATATCGTCTTTATGAAGCTTATTTACGACTTTCTCAAAGCTGTTGATGTATGTGTTTAATGTTTTGTGTTTTAGTCATCCTTTACGTTTAAGTTTCCAATTAGTTCAAAATGCTTTCCCTTTTCCTCCCACCAAATGATCAATAAATGTAATCCCTAATCTCGAGTAAGCCGCGAGTAATCGGCCCCCGTTCTACTAACATTAGTTGTAAGAAATGATATTAATGTAAAAAATATTCGGCTCCGCAAAGCTAACGCATTTGAGCCTTGACAAATAAATGGATTATAAAAAAAAATTATGTCCGATATCACTCAAATAGATCGAGAAGGAAAATAAATAACAATACATAAACAGCTTATTTAATGAAAGAATTATTAATTAATGATAAAAAATATAATTTGTGTAGTTTAAAGATAAAACGCAGAGCGACAAAAAAATTTGAATAGCGTAAATTAATGAAATTTTTTGAAGAGGGGAGCGACATCATTAACAAATTAAATTTGCATAATTCTTACAACGAATAGTCAAAAATTATATACTTCCAATTTCCGGGAGGTGCCATCAATTGTTTTTCGATTCACGGGTAGCCAGAAATGGTCAGGAATTGATAATACTAGTCAGGACCCCGAGATATCAAGGATGTTCCCTTGTACGCTAGTGCCGTGTAGTGAGATAATTCTGAACTTTTGATTTTCATTCAAAATGCCTTGACTCACTGAACCACTTTGCCAAAGACAGAAACCTTCGATATGGCCAGGATTCCAAGATACAACATTTTCAGGAAATTCTCTTGCGCACTAGGGCCAAGTCTTAATAAAATTTTGAATTTTAGTTCTCCAACCAAAAGACCTTGACTCCAAGGTCAACATTGCTGAATGTAATCTGCTATATTGCCAGGATTCCAAGATATAGCATTTTCAGAAAATTTACTTGCACACTAGCTCCGCATGCACAGATAATTTTAAACTACTACAACAACCAAAAGTCCTTGGCCAACTTAACAACTATGTTGAAGACAGAAACCTTCTTTATAGCCAGAATACCAAGATATAACTTATTCAGGAAATTCACTTGTACACTAGTACCACGTAGTGAGGAAATTCTGAACTTCTGTCTACAAACAAAAATACCTTGACCTACCGAACAAATTTGCCGAAGAATGCAACCTTCTTTAACACCCCGTTCAATAACTACGCAGACAATTTATTGCAATTATCCACGGCCCATACAAATTTGAACAATTGTCTACGCAGGGAGAGGGGAGGGGAAGAATCCCAAAAAACTGTGTATGTAGTTAATGAACATCCCCTAATCTAGCTAATTTAGGACAGAACCAAATTAACCACATCAAAAACCAACAAAATTGCTATTTGGACTTTTTACTAACGAATATTTATGAAGATTTCTGTGAGACCGAATCAATAAATTCACTGTGGAAAAATGAAGCGTTTCACACAGCAATTGAGTATTCTTTATTTGTGCATGAAAACCAAAGACCCAACGACAACAACAAATTAAACAGTGTCAATTGGCAACTAGTTTTAAGGAATGTAGGAAATGTCGAAATTGGTATAGACGCAACAGAAATACACAAAATCCAGTTTGGTTTAACAGACAAATAAAACACTTGAAAAATCGGAAGCAAACAGCACATATAATTTATAAAAAACACAATAGTAGTAATAATTTATTAATTTATTTGGATATAAATATGCGATCAACTGAATTAAGCTATCAGTACTGCTTTTGAAGAATATAATGCAAAAACAGAACATGATATAAAGTCCTGTCCAAAGAACTTCTTTAATTACGTAAAAACCAAATTATAATCTGACAATTTTCCTTCAATAATGCATCTCAACGGAAAAAACTGCAATCTATTTGCAAAATTTTTTCAAGAAATCTATACGACATTTTCTGAAGAAGATCGCGACCGCGATTATTTTGCATTTTTCCAGAATCTTCAAGGGACATTGGCCTCAATCAACTTCAAGTGCAGGATATTTTGCAGGCTTTAAAAAAATTAGATGCCTCAAGAGGTCCTGGACGGAATTCCTCCAGTATTTATTAAATGTCTAGCAATGGAACTCACTGCCCCATTTTTTTTTGGCTTTTTAATATGTCCCTGGAATCTGGAACCTTTCCAAAAATTTGGAAAAGCTCATTCCTAGTGCCTATCTTTAAATCTGGCTGAAAATCTGACGTACGTAATTATCGTGGTATAGCCATTATCTATTGCATTCCTAAACTTTTCGAGGCAATTTTCAACGAAAAATTATTTCTCCAAATCAAAAATAGAATTACTGACATGCAACACGGCTTTTTCAAGGGTCGCTCGACCTCGACAAATTTACTTGAATTTATTATAAATATTATTGAATGCAATGGATAATGGAAACCACGTCGAAGCTCTCTATACAGACTTTAGCAAGGCACTTGACCGCATAGACATACCAATGCTACTTTTTAAATTGCAAAAAATTGGAATTGAGTTAGGGCTCCTAAAATGAGGAATAAACATAGGTTTGACATCGATAGGTGACTTTGTAATAAAATGGCAACCGAAAATCCACATATATTGTACCAAATAGGGGAACGTAGCGTAATACGCGCTCCCTAATGAAATGATCGATGTTAACTACATTTTAAATCGAACATAAACATACTATTTCAGCGCATTAGTCTGCATAATCTTCTTGATGTTACCGAAAACAACATGTGAAAATATGCATTCATCAATGAGAAAATGATTTTGCAAAAAAATCTTATGCTGTTATGCTTTTTTCTAGATGTTATGTAGGTTGCATACATTAATGCGCTATCCATAAGTTTAATTTTTTTTTTGTTTTTCTTCATTTGATTTCCGTCGATCTTGTTTTCCGTGCTGAGCACCAATGCTAACGACGCCAGGAAGGCAGCTCCCACACCTGGACCCTACCTGTCGACCCATCAACTCATGAACCTTGGACCAACGACTTTACTTAACTTCCCCGTGATCAGAGATGTTATGCCTCAGAACATCCCAGCGGCGCCGACTTGAATTGAACCCAGGCCTGCTGGAGTGAGAGATAATCACGCTTACCACTACACCACCGGCGCCACTATAAGTTTTGATTGTAGGAAGTAAAAAATTAGGTTGAATTTAAAACACTTTTATAAGGTTCCCATCATCTGTAACACTTCGGTTTTACGTAACTCATAACAGCAATTTAAACGTCAACGGCTGTTTAGGAGTTACCAAGCCACATGGCGCATATTGCCCCTCCCCTCCCCCCCCCCCCACCTACAACTCAGGATTCAGAACGCAGCAAGTTGATTCATATATCAAATGTTAGTAATGCTCTTATTTTACCCCATGAAAACTCTTACTTAACAAATCTTACATCGAAAGGCACTCAAACAAACTTGAATTTTTATTATGTTTTACTGAATGTAGTAAAAATAAGTCAATTCTTGGATTAGAATAGCAATTAACCCCAAAATACTACCTATTGGTGCAATAAAAAGTGGATCAAAGTGTGAATCAAGCAAAATAACGTGGTAACGCGTATTACACCGCCGGCGCGAATTAAAAACATTCCCCCTACAAACAGCGTGAGGGCTCGAATGTTAAACAAAATCACGTAAATAAAAAGTGTGTTTCAAATAAAATCGCTTAAAAATAGAATTTAGTGTACCAGCAAAATTGTCACATGCCGCTTTTTTCGCCCTGTAAAATCTGTTCTGAAGCTAAAACTGTTTGTTGGGATTGCCAGTCATATTGAGTACCAGGAGTACCATCGAGGAAGTTGCCAAACCTGACGTGAACTAAAATCACATCAAATCACTCAAGGAGCTTACGTATTGAGCGCACAAAGCCGCAATAGCCGGACAAGTGCATGTCAGAACCTTTTTTTTCCACTGTTCGGGACCTAACACTATTGCGACCAGTAAATTGATCTATTGTAGTATATTCCGTGTCCTTAGTTTAGTGCATGTCGTATTACTCCATGACTATTGAGAAATGATGAAGTATTCGATTTTTTTTACAGTTGCCACTCTTGCATTTATCGCAAGGATCCGACTCTAATTGAAAGGTCCCGCTATTTATACCCTTCGGAGTGTTGAAACACCCTCCAAAGGCGCGCCCCTTTGTCAGTCAAAATTGGATTCCTTAGCAACAAAATTAAGGTATGACACCGATAATGACCATGCATCAGAACCCTAGTCTTAACCACTTCAAATTAGGGAACAACAAATAGAAGATTAGGAATCACATAGATGAAGACAACTAACTCATTTTTTTCCTTGTTTCAAGATCATCCTCGGTAGACAAAGCCGAGTCTTGTCATTATCAACAAGGCATAAAAAGTAACAAGGACTGTGTGTGTGTTCCTTGGATTACTGAAAAATCCTGTTCCCCTAGTTTGAAGTAGTCAGGACTAGGAATCGGTGGTAGACCTTACATCCCGTAACGTACCACGAAAAGGTGATCTACCCACGGTACCGTTGCAAATGTCAGAACCTTAGAGTAAACAAATAAAAATTCTAAGATAAAAGAGTGTCAATTAGGCTTCCCAATGAATTACTGATCCCGCGAGGAGTAGGTGTGCTATTCACTGTATATCGTTTTCAATGCTGTCAAAATTTACATCAATCACTATTTTACTCATACTCAGAAACCTTCCATGGATTAGTTCATGTTAACTGGATTAATTCATGTTAAGCGTGACTTTGCTCTGAAGCGGTAACTTAGATGACTGAGAACAAAATGGTCCATTTTTTACATAAATAATCACAACAATGTTAGTACAGCTGTCCACTCCACCAAACCACTGAAAAATCGCTGTTAGTTGCTAATATATTCTTTCAACAACTGTAACGAGGCGGAAAGGCCTTGAAAATCCATCGAACCGTAACATACCAGAAATACCTGCGAAGACATTAATCAAAACAAGGAGTAAGAAAAGACACCCCGCTATATTGTTCACGTTATAATTTATTCTTTGATACGTTCAATTCATCAGTCACATGATTCATCCAAAAAACACACTCGAAAACTGCTCACTTTTATTATTCCATCCGGTTTATGACTAAAACTAGTTTGAAACATCGCAGTGAACTCCGTAATAAAAGCGACTAGGGGAAATGGCTCTAATGTTGGCCTATGGATCTAAGATCAATTTTATCTAGATGAACGCGTCATTGGGACGGCACTTATGGATATTTTTGGTTGCTATTGAAAATTTAGTCGATTGCTGAATTTATGTATGGGCCCAAATTAGGGGCATTTAGGCCAACATTACATCCATTTCCCCTATTAGATTGAAAATCAACTCACAAACGCTCACTGCCTTATGTTCAATTCCGCATGTAGGCGTCAGTACTAACTTAAATAGTTGTATGTATTTAGACCATTCAACAATGTTTCCTATATGCGATCAGAAGCCATAAATCATTCTGATAAATTTGCAATATCAGGGGGGGGGGAGATTGTTGTCAATTTGTTGGAGGCACAGAATTGGGATTTCCCCAGTGGCTATTCCACGCGGGAACATCCCGATGGAATCCGTTGCCATGGAAGGTGTATCCTTTGTGTTCATGACTTTTGTGATCAAAATGCTGATGGTGGAAATGAGGCCCTTGAACCCATGGTGGTGGTGGTCCGTCAAACCGATGATGTTCGTTTTGTGAGCCCGGAAAGTTGGGGTGTTCATGATCGCCACGGTGTCCATGGGGTCCATGATGCCAGTTGGCAAATTCTGTAAATAAATGATCATGCTAAATGAGATTCAACATTCGGGTATGCAAAAAACAATATCGTACCATGGTTTTCACCCATCTTCCATTGCTTCATTGGGAATGGACCGGTGAAAGGATGATTCATGTCCTGACCTTCAAAAGTTCCCTTTTCTAAAACTAGCGTTCCATGGTTAAATAATTGACCACTTTTAAGTTCAACGTTCATATCATCATTTGTAACAGCTTCTTGATGCACGGGACCCCAGTCAGCTAATCCTGAAAAAAAAACATATTTTAACGAAGTTTGTCCTTCACAGCAGGGTTGGCATGCTCAATTTTTCACGTAAATTGCTCATTTGTTAATAACTCTAGGCTCGCTTGACAAAACATGAAGCACTTGATAAAAAAAAAAAAAGTTTGAGCTTCCTATACGTACGTACACCACCGTAGATTTGTATTTAGACGAAACGCTGTTCTCATTTGTGCGTCACAAAAACGAAAAGAGAAATAACTGCTGCTCATTTCGCACTTTCTATGTATAAACTCATTGGTGTGAATTCATATGTACTGATTCAACTGCTCTATGCTTGTCTACAGTGAAACTCTGATCCTACTCTACCAATTGCATAAAGTAAAACCAAGTTTCATGAACTGAATGAAAAGTTATTAACAACAGAGCAATTTGTGAAAAACAATGAGCATGCCCTACCCTACTTTTCCATCGGTTGTGAAAACAAAACCTTACCAGCATATTCACGGTTTTCCGGTTTTACTGGAATCGTTACAGAAGTTTTCAAGTCCTGAATTCCAAAACTACCCTTTTCCACAACTTGCGTTTCATGGTTGAGCTCCACGTTCAGATCCCCGTTTATTACGGGTTTGTTAGAATTTGGTTCAAAAGCTGCAGTGGTTGGCTTTTCAGGACTTTCTTCATTCTGAAACTCTCTTTCTAAACTTGTATCGTCGTACTGATAGCTATCAAGTATCACAGCCTTCTGATTGATTTGATTGTGTCTGGCTTGCTCCTGCTCGCGCTCGTGTTCTTGCTCCCACTCATGCTCCTGCTCATGTTCCCACTGCTGCTCCCGCTGCTGCTCCTGCTCCTGCTCCTGACCCTGGTCCTGCTTCTGCTCTTGCTCCTGCTCCTGCTCCTGCTCCTGCTCCTGCTCCTGCTCCTGCTCTGGGTATTTCTCCTTTTCGATGGCTCCATTAACTTCGTCTTCATCATAAACGCGAATCGTAGTGTCAGTTACCGCACTGTCAGTACGATCAGTAACAGTAGATTCTGTTTTATTCTCGTTTTCGAAATCATCACTAACAGTTTCGTTGACCTGTGCACTTCGTTCACTATTGTCTGATTCATTTTGTTCTAAATTCAAGGGACTAGCAATCGGACTGGGTTCTTCTTCCTGAACGTCAGCTTCATCTTCTTCAAACACTGGAGCAGGTTCTCTGTGATCACTTATCTTGGTGGCTGTCACCTTCGGTTCGACAGTGTTTATTTCAACTGGTCGCACTGAAGCCTGTGTCTCATCATCGTCATATAAAAAATCAATTTGACTTCCTTTTTGGGGTGCCGGTGCGGACAACGCCAGTGTCCCAAGACACAGCACAATAAGCAACTTCATAGCACTAAGCTTACTTAAAACAGGACTCCCTTCTCTAACGGAGCTCACACTATCAGACTAGCGCAAACGCGAATTTTCGATCGAATGAGCGTCATTCATGTCAGTTAGTTTTTATATACCTACAACAAGGCAATGCCTTCCAGTCGCACTCGCATAGTAGCTACCAAGCAATAAATTAATGCCATCGAAGCTACCCTGTCGTCAAGTCGTTATTCGCTTTCGGATCAATATTCAAAGGAAGAATTCTATAGAGCTGCTGCGCAAAACAAGATCAATTAATATTACCCATTTTTTTGCCTTTGTCAGAATTCCAACTCGATGCTTAAAATCTATGGGTTGGGTATTTCCCTTTGGTAATAGGCCGTACAAATATTAAATGATCACATAAATGCTGTGATGAATCATATTGAGGTCCCCAACAACTGTGTAAAATTTTAACGAAATTTGGTTCGGATCTGGATTTGCTGGAGAATTTTAAATTGTGTATGGGAAAATGTATGGAAAATATCACGAAACTATTCATTTGCATGCCATTGCTCAATAACCAAAGATTGGGAATTATGCAAAACAACTTTGTCGAAGACCGCAAATTTTTTTAACTTCTTATAAAAAAGTTATTATTATTTTACTATGTTGGGGACCTCAATGCATATCGAAAGAGCAGTGGGGATCATGGGGTTGTAATGTTAACCCACCCTAGTGGACACACTTGATCCTCTATTTAATTTTGGATATATATTAGCGGAAAAATTATAACTTGATGTGGTTTTACACGGGCCTAAACGGAAATATCTTTGGTGATAAATAATTATTTGGCCTTCGTGTTTGTGCGGTTAGCGGCGTCACCCATCGTTCAGGCTTTACTGTGGCAGGCATCTAAATTATGCCTATTAATTTACATTTTTACAGCTATCTCTATCCCTGGCACAGCTGTTTCTATCAATGATACTATCAGTGATTGAAAAAAGGATAGATAGATGATAGAGGCTATTATCCCTATCATTGATAGGAGTTAGAGTGATACTATCAGCAGAGAAACATGATGGAGATGTTATTATCTATCCCTATCTTTTGAGAGAACGTTCTCAAGTAACACAAATTCATAGAATTATGTTAACTGCTATACAACCTAAACCAGTCATACAAAGGTTATATAAACTGTTATAGAACATATGTATTGCTTGGGTTCGTGATATTATCATTATTAATTAAACGGCGCATAATATCTCCATCACATTTTTGGAGACCTGTTTCATCTTATATTATCATGCATACCGGAAAACATAGTGGAAAAATGGTTTGTACCACAAAAGAATCTGCCATCCCAACAAACAATTTTAGCTGCAGGTTAACTTATACAGGCAAAAATTAGCTGCATAAGGCAAATTTTGGCTGTATAAGCTAATCTGCAGCTAAAATTGTTTGTTGGGATGTAGTTTACAATACATATAGGTATTTTTTTTTTTAGCCGTGGCTAGTTCATCTCTATATTTTATAGAGATGAACTAGACAACGGCTAAAAATCTCTTAAATAAAGTTTAAAAAAATATATATAGGTATTTTCGAAATCGTGGTGTCGTCTAGAGACCGGAAACCGATGTCCAATGCCATTTTTTTTTGACGTAGAACTAAAACTGAACTGAATAGATATAAAATAGCGCTGCTGTCGCGCTTCTGCTCATTACCGCTTGGGACGGCGTGGCGCTTGGTCCTGCAGTAAACAGGAGCAAGTCAGTGGTTAAAGGTGACTTGGGTTTCGTTCAACTAAGGGGCTGTTCATTAACTACGAAGGGGAAGAGAGGTGGGCAAGAATCCTAAAAAAATTGTCTCCGTAGTTAATGAACAGCCCCTAATACGAAACGCTGAAAAGTTATTTATGCAAAACTTATTTATGATGTTTACTATTAAAACATTAAATAGGTGGAGAACCTGTATACGAGCTTTTGCTCTGACTTTGAAATTCAAAAGCTGAATCCCCTAATTTTCAATTAATGTTGTACTAAACACCTACTTATTGGAAACCAAACGTTTAATTTGAGAAAAGTCACAGTATTTTATTTTGCAATCATTCTACGAACACGCTGTCATCGTCGACTTGACGATCTCGAGGGGTGGCGGACACCCCTCACCATCCCTCTCCAAAGGGGGAGTTTGGTAAAGAGAGATGAAAAAACCGATTTGTACCTTCCTTAAAAGTTGTCCTAGCTCGCTATTCTAATATCTATATGCAATCTTCACACTGCCGTACTCTAACGGAACTATCAACTCTATCCTTTTATCTACTCCATCTATCGTATAAAAATTACCACTACAGTCTGTTATTTGAAATTAGCATCTTCAACTACATTTATAAGGTTTTCACTTTCTGTAACTCTTGTTTTACGTTACTCAGAACAGCAATTGAAACTTCAATGGTTGCTCACGAGTTAAAAATAAAAAAGTTCACGGGGATCGAAAAGTTGTGCAAGGAAGCTAGAACAAAACATATCTTTTAACAAACGCTCTCTCTTGCAGGTGACTTAAAGTGGGAGTGATATTGTTCCTCTCAATCTCAAACAAGAAAGTTCGCTCGGGAATAACACTTTGGGCCCGTGCATTAATTATGTCACGCTAAATCGAGCAAAAAATTACCCCCTCCCCCCTATCGTGACGTTTTTCCTATACCTATTGCTTGTCACAACATCTTAGAAAAATTAAATCACAAAGACCTTATTTACGCAAATAAACACGTTTTGATATTTAGAAAAAAAAATCCCGAACATTGAGATTAAGGCCGCTATCACAGTGAATGCGAAAACCCAAGCTGTCGAAAAATGTATTGGGGTTTTTATAATTTATTGTTATTCATTTCCATGCTAGGCTCACCTTCTCGCAATCACTGTGCTATCGGCCTAAGGCCTTATTTACGGAGATAACCACGTTTAAAAATATTAAACTCTTGAGGGTTTTGAGTCACTATTAAGGCCTTTGCAATCAATATAAATTCGTTTAAAGATATGGAAAACTCAAACCCTCAACATCGCGAAAAAACACTCGTTTAAAGATTTGGAATACTCAAACACATCCAAAATCACGATGAATACCTTGTACACGGAGATAAACACGTTTAAAGATTTGGAAAACATTATCAAGTAAAAGATATATACTAGACCATTGACAGAAATGTTCGGGATGCAGCGGGTCAGCCTGTTCGTCATGTTAATTTTAACTTCTGTGCAAATTTTCAGCAAAATCGGTGATGATTTAGAGGTGCTTCAAGTTAATTTTTATGTTTTTAAGGTAATTTACGGCTTATAATATTTGTATCTCGAGGTTGAAACAACGAAAACTGCTGTCATCCAAAATGTTCGTTATTTTATAAATTGCTGTTATTGCTCGAGAGACACTTGCCTCTGATAAAAAAACACGTCTACTGATGATTCACATTTCTAAAAAAAATCATCTATCAATGAAACAGTCATCGGTCGTCATTAAAAAGCAATGCAACTATGTTCTGTCGAGCATGAAACTAAGTCAAACTTCAATAAAATCACTTTGAATAGTCAACCTTTGGTCATAAAGTTGGTAGATAACACATTAAGCTTTGCTATGAAAGTTATTACAGCAGTTTTCGTTGTTTCAGCCTCGAGATACAAATATTATAAGCCGTAGATTACCTTTAAAACATAAAATTAACTTGAAGCACCTCTAAATCATCACCGATTTAGCTGAAAATTTGCACAGAAGTTAAAATTAACATGACGAACAGTAATCAAGGTTGACTCGCTGCATCCCGAACATTTCTGTTAAAATGAACAGGGCTAATATATACCCATCAAAAAATCATGGAAAGGTTGATTCAAACATGACGTCCACTCTTCAGGAGAGGAGGGGCTCCTAGAATGTGTGACAGGATGTGTAATAAGTATATGGAAATACGTAATACAAAAAATGTGAAAAAATATATCAAAACTTGTGGACGTCATATTTGAATCGCTCTAAAGGCTAGACGGAATTATTCTACACAATAAAAGAACACCGAACACGTTTTAAATATTATATTTTACTTAATCTAGTTCAAGCGTAATATTACAACACTGGTCAAATGGATCGATTCGATATATTTTGTCTGATTTCATTATATGAATGTTGGCAAGTCATTTGAGTCGAGATAGTGATCCCGAACGAGTCAATCGTATTTTTTGTAATATCTAACTATCCTAAGAGAGTTAAATTAAAGTTATCGTCACGTGTCGTCTACCTGTCCACAGGTTCCACGTGCACACTAGTGATAAAGTAGCAATCTACTTCGTACGAAACGCCGCTTCGCAGGGAATTATTAGTCGTCAGTGAGCTTTCCTCTGATCCTGTTGCAAGCGTTTACTGTACCCTCGGATGTTAGCTAAAACGATAAGAGAATGACAACATAAGCATAGATAGAAAATTGTATTGAAGTAGAAAAGCAAGTCAGTTATTTGCATGGAATGCTATTAATGCGTTAAGGAAATTGTGGAAGCAGCTAACACTACAATATCGTTTCATAAGCAGTGCACATAGTGGCACAGGAATTAGCAAGCAACATAACACTAATGATTCAAAACATCTCATTTACATTGTATTCTGTTTTTTGTTCGAACCTGGCAACTTCTTCTTTCCTTTTTTGCCCTCCACCTGAACAGGAGCAGCTGTCGTCGTCGTTGTTGTTGATACTTCAGTCGTTACTTCCTCAGCTTTTTCCGTCACTTCGATGGCTTTCGCTACATCCTCTGTCGTCTTAGTGGCTGTACTACTACTGACACTCGAATCTTCAACTTTGTTTTCTGTTGCTTCTGTTGCTTTAGTTGAACTCCCTTCTTTCTTGACAGATTCAATAGCTTTGACTTCGGTTTCTTTGGTGGGCTCTGCCGTAGTTTGCACGGCTGGTTCCGATTCCTTCAGGTCAACAGCTTTAATTGCTTCAACAACCAAGACATTGGGTTCCTCTAATTTTTCAGATTTTGCTTCTACAGATTCGGCAGGAGAAGATGCTACGGTTACCGGATCAGCTACAGTCTGAATAGTATCAACGGTCTTCACAATAGGAGCATCTTCCTTTTGAACTTCACCAGCTGTGGTCGATTCAACTTCAGCCTGGACTGTGGGCTTCTCTACATCAGCATTAGCTGTTGTTGCTTCTGTTGGTTTTACAGCTGGAATCTCTTCTTTATTTTGCTCCGCAACTTCAACAGTTTCAACTGTCTTCACAGCAACTTTTTTGATCTCCTCTTTTATAGGTTCATCATGGACAACTGCAACTGGAATAGTTTTGTATACCGGCTCTGCCTCAACACTTTGTTTCTCCTTAGGTAAATCTTCAACGATTGGAACTACCATCTCATTCGATATGCTTTTAGCTTCTGGCTTTGGTTTGACTGCCGTAACTTCTTTGTCTACTTTCGTGATTTCGTCGGCTTGTACTTCTGGCATCACAGTCATTGCTTGCTCTTTGGTAGATTCCATAGTTGTTTCCTTAACAGCTTCATCAAAGGTTATAACCGGCGATGCTCTGACTGGTTCCCCCTTTAACTTGATCACCATGTCATTTGAAGGTTTTTCTTCGCTTGAGTTATCCTCATCCGAATCATCAACAGCTTGTGGTACAATGATTTTGGCTACTGCGGCTTCTACCTGAACTGGTTTTGCTGCCTCTGCTTTAGCTTCAACGTTTTCGGGCTCTGGTTTAACAGATTTTTCCATTGGGGCCTCTACTATCGCTGGCTTGGGCTCTGATGTAGCTTCAACTAGTTGATCATTTTTTCCTGGCACTGACTCAATCACGGGTTTTACTTCTTCAGCTTTTACTTGTGCTTTTTCTATGATTTCAACTTTTTTGACATCTGCTGCCTTTGTTGTACTGTAATCTACCTTAGTTGCTTCTTTAACAGCTTCAGCTTCTTTAGTATCCACAGATGGCTTCATAGATTCCACCGGTTTGGCGACCTCTACGGATTTTACAACTTCCGAAGATTCCATAGACTCCAATGATTTGACATCAGCAGATTTCACAACTTCAGGGACCTTTTCTGAAACAACGGCTTTCACCGCTTCGGTGGATTTTTCTATGTGTTCCTTGACTTCCGTAACTGTGACCAATGCAGGTATCATCATGTCTACAGGAACGGCCTTAACTTCGACGTGGATTTCAATCTTCTGAACCATTGGAACATGTTCATTTTGTTCCTTCGTTTCTGAGACCGGTTTCACTTCCTGGGGTGTTGGGAATGCCACGGTGGCAACGACCACAGTCACTACCAGAACAAACTGGAAGATTTTCATTGCTGGGGAGAGAAGAAAAAGTTGATTTAAGTTAAAATCATGCTGACTCATGAAATACAGTGAGATCTCGATTTTGCAAGGGCATCTACAAATAAAAAACCCTTATAAACCGACTTAATGTTTCTTATTTGTATAATCACTTGATAAACCCTGTGAAAAACAAAAAAAAAGGAAAAACTACCTTCTGCTAAAATCGAAATCTAATTGTATTCAAGATGAAAACTAACAATTATCAAACATACATAAACACTCTCAATACAATCAAAATTCGTTATGCATTTTGAACCATTCTCTTCAGTATAAGACGCCCGGACCAGATTTATCAATCAAGTTATGAATTATTGCAAACATAATTTAAAAGCTCTCATTTTGTATATCATTTCAGACCAATGAACGACACGAAGATTGCATTCATGGAGAGAGTGGTAAAATTGCGTGAATGACACAGCAAGAAATTAATTTTGGTATCACATCAAAGTGGATGCACTTCAATCGTGTCGAAAATATGGTGTAATGACTTGCTAAAAAGGGCAAAGTTATAATTAATACAGTTCATGAACTGATTTATTTTATAATTGTGTATGAATATATGTAGTGCACTGCCCATAAAAACATAACAATCCCATATGGATTTTTATCAGAAATGAGTTATCCATTAGGAATCGATTGTACACTACCTGTGTTTTAAACTGTTCACTAAAAGTCACATAGTTTGTTCAGAAAATATGGTGAAAAATATCAAAACATGGTTTCCCATCGAAAAGAGTCTACGGATACATAAATCTTCAACCGCGTTTTTCTCAGCGTGCTGTTTTGCCAGATGGGACTGATATGGTTTTATGGGCCGTGCAGCTGGCCTTATATTACAGTACTTTCCAGTAACCAGTTCCAGTTATCACAATCGACTTTATTGAAGTTTTGGTAAAGTCGATTGTAATGTGTATTTATGAAACGATTCTGCGAATATTATGGCATGACGCATACAGACCGATTTTGAGCAGATCCAGCCGAAATAACGAAAAAATAGTAAAATTTAGAGGTTTACCTCTCACAATTCCATAAAAATTCGCACAATTGTTCTCGCGGGGCAAAAAACCACATTGAAAATAAAATTTCGTTTATGCAACGAAATCGCTCGTTTGTTCTACGAATTTATTCGTTGTTTTCTGCAACGAGATTCATTTCTACATTGTATGAAGCTACTTTCGTTAGAACTGTCACACTCGCTATCGCTACACCCAACCAGCGAGCCACAAGTGGTGGTTGTGGATACCGAAAAATGTGGAGTGTGTTAGTGAGGATGGATTGATGGATGGATTCATCATTGGAAGGAATAAACATGACAAAAAATTTAAATATAAGCGTCACACCGAACTCGAACCATGAACCGTCCAATAGTTAGATCTGTGCTTTATCTATCGCGCTATCTGTGCTACGAGAAATGGTAAGGCTAATGGCAAATAAGAAGCACTCATGGAACGGTAATTCGATTTCGATTGCTTTTTCTGCTGCTTGCATGTATCTCTTTTCTCTGACATAAAACCACCACGACCAGTAATTTGGTTTATTGTGGTAGCTTGCATGTACTGGTCAAACCGACAATATTTCAAGAAAAAAAGTATCCCATCTCCAACACACAATCAGCACTTTAGGATCCAAGAAGCGCAGTTGTTGGTTTGATTGTACGAAGTTGAATTGGTATATTATACGAATATAGCGTAATATAAGCATTGCGCCAGATGACAGGAAAAACGAATGTTTCGTACCATTTTTGAAAGATGTTTTTTTTTTTCCTTTGGTTTGTTTTTTCCGTCGATCTTGTTTTCCGTACTGAGCACCAATGCTACCGACGTGCCAGGAAGGCAGCTCCCACACATGGACCCTACCTAATCCCATCAACTCATGAACCGGGGACCAACGGCTTTACTTCCCATCCGAAGGAAGGCGTGATCAGAGATGTTATGCCTCAGAACATCCCGGTGGCGCTGACTGGGATTGAACCCAGGCCTGTTGGGGTGAAAGGTAATCACGCTTACCACTACACCACCGGCGCCGTTGTTTTTGAAAGATGTGTTTTATGTACGATATCCATTTTTACGAAACGGTTCTCATAGAAATAACGAAAATACATTTTCAGTGCAAGTTTATTCTGGAATTCCCATTTTAACTCACCTCAAATATCTCATTAAAGTCATCTATGAGAGACTTTTGATACTTAATAAGCTTGGTTTGTAGCAAAAACATTGTCTGTATCTCTTTTTATAAGGCAGTTGTATCTATTTGTATGTAATAAAATTAACAAAGTCACATTAATTTTATAGAATAAAAAAAAACATAGGTGAAATGGATGTAATGTCGGCCTAAATGCCCCCGGCGTTCATCTAGATAAAATTGATAAATAGCAGATTTTTTGCGATGGGCCCAATCTTAGATCCATAGGCCAACATTAGAGCCATTTCCCCTATCTCTAATTGTTTGATATTATGTAGACTAACATTCGCCCTATCAAAGGACATCAACAGATATTTTTTTATGTTTGCCTCAAACAGAGATATTAATATTTGATAAGGGCGTATTTTTATAAGAAAAACGTCAATAACTCTTGATCGGCAATGCATATCGACAAGTTCTGCAAGGAAAAATTGTGTTCTCCAAAGTTTTAAAAGTCATCTGAAGACAACTTTGCTGAAAAATTTGAAATTTAAAAAATGGAGCAAAAGAACTGGTTTTTTTTAGAGACACTTTAAGTCATTTGAGGAAAATTGCTCTAAATCGGTCAACTCAAAAAATACTTAAAAGTGTTGTTCACATAACTGCTTTAAACTAGCTTAGCTTTGCCGAAAAATTTATACATTTATTTCTGCAAATAAAAGAGTTACGTTTTTATGTCAATGGTAATAAGAACCACCCTAGTGTCCCTAGTATTAATTGAAACCAAAATGTGGACTTTACTGTAAGAAATAACTTTGTAGAAGGTTCTAAATGCATCTTCCTGCTAAATTCCCTTCCTGAACCACTGTGGATTGTAGACGTGAATATCGTCGCATTAATGGCCCTTCGCTCAATTTCAACTTCTATTCACTTTCCACACTGCCGTACTCTAGCGGAACAAACAACCTATCCTCTTAAGAACTTTCTCTAGTTAATAAATTACCACACTAAAGCTTCATGTTGATATTAGTATAGCACTCTACAAATTCAGGATCTTGTATTTGTGTTACCCATCTATTAGGGTCGGTCATCTATCGGGCTATCAGCATTGCGTTTGGATTAGTATATGAATCATGCAACTAATCATGAAAAAGTATAGTGCAGAAAGTGCGTAACAACTTTGCCAAAGAATGTACGGTGCTACAATGTCCCTAAAAAAGTTATAGCGATCGATGTTTCGAAATAAATGCCAAAAATAACTTTTCAATTTTCATCACGTCTGACTTTCTTGATATTTGAATACAGTACAATACAATAGTCAAGAACTTAATGATGAAAATAACATATCGGTTTTCATAAAACTCAACGTCGACTATCTGCGTGTACCCTCGACTACAGCACTGAATTATTTATCTATTAGTATTCTTTAACCGAAAAATGTCTCAATTAATGGGTTTTCAGATAAAAAAAAATTCAGATTAGGATCAGAAGTTCAGTGTACTAAACAATTATCGATTACCGAATTAAAAGTATAAGCGCACTCAAATTTAGCAAAGCTTAATGATACGCTATTAGTTTAAAATTTAAGCTGCATCGCTAATCCACTACCTTAAATTTAGCTCGTATGTACGAATTCGAAAAAATATCCCCCTCTGATAGAAAACAACATATTCATATCAAACAAAACCTTCCAAAGCCTGCAGAAACGCCCAACGTGATAAACAAAGACTGCGTCAATCAGCTAAAAGTTTTGGTCATCGCTTTCGATGCCACCAGCCAGTAGTGCCGTCCCTGAAGGTCGTTTGAAGCATCGGCATTTTTTCTTGCCACTCAACCGTAAAGCTATGTGAATCTGATTAACGCTTAATCTGTAAATGGGTCTCACCAGATCATGGGGAAACATAAAGAACAACAAAGGATCCCACCGAAGATAGGAACTATAAAAAGGTAGGGGGTCTGTTCAGTACCCTAAAGACTTTGAACTTTAACAGACCTCATAGCAAAAGACATGCCTCTCGGACTTTGCTATGCGCGTTTATTTGATCTACTGATTAAGTTTAATGGTTCCGCCTGAGGGCATTCTGCGTCTGTTTAGGGTAGGAAAATTTTCAGCCAAGAGTAGTAATATTAGCCTATACGACCGGGAAGATGAATGACATCCGGGTAGTGAGAATGGTTATTTTCTGCTCTGTGATCACACTCTGAAGCGAAGATATTTGTTCAGTTTCAAAATATGAGCTGTGTTTTTTGCCATCTTAAGAGCATGCCGCTGTTTGTTCATAGCAAGGAATGTGGACCAACTTTAAACAGATATTTGATATCTATATTATTCCATAGAATGCTATCGGGCTTCTGCGTCCAAAAATGTGACTAGTGTGCTTAAGACTCAGAACACAAACCGGTTCAAATCTTCATCATGTCATCGGCAATAGTGTACGCATACCCAACCGGCAAATGTAATTTTTTTTACAGATTTACATGAAAAGTATGCAGAATTTTCAATGTTTCGCGGCATGAATAGATTCTGTAATGTGATCACAAGAAAGTATTTAAAATAGTTTTGTAATTTTTATGATAGCTTATTTATCGGACAAAGTTTGTGCATTGCGTCTAGAAAATCATCTCGTGAAGGTTTTATACAAAAATATACATTTAAAAATTGCTTTTACGCTGCAGTCAATTGCAAGAACTGCAATAACATTTGTTGTATGAAACATATGCAGAGGATGTAATAAATCCAATCCTCTGGATGTAAGAGAAATTTGTTTTGCATGCAGAAACGTGAATTAAAAAAAAAAACTTCACTGAAGGGTTCAAAATAAAGCTAATATTTTTGTTTAACCAGGTGCCT